TTTATAATTAAGTTATGGGTTTTATAAGGTTAGAATATGAAAGAACAACACTTTATTATACAGTAACAATTTTAATCTTCAAGGTCGATAAGGGAAAACAGGAGTTATTAGGAGAAAGGTACTTTTTCGAAGTTGGTAAACAAGGGTTTTGCGTGTAGTTTACATATGTAATGGTGGTAGTAGTGGAAATTAAGGTTGTCAAGAGGATTTTCCAGGATTTTTAAGGTTATAGAAGATGATGTCATATTACATGAGCAAGAAAAAGAGAGTAGCAGCTGTGAAAAGTGAAGAAAATGGGTGAATTTTGTGGAAAATGAAGGTTTTCAGCTAAATACATATGTCAAATGACGTCGGATTAAGTTGGTAGATAGCTCATTCAACGCAGAAGAGTGGATTACATGATGTACAGACTTTAAATCATTAGTAACAGAGGTGTATGTAAAAAGGTATAAGGCAAATAAGAAATTGGTGTGAATCTCGAATTTACAGTCACAAGTCAACATGTAACACCAAAAACCTTAACTTCACAACTCAATATCTTACTCATCACTCATCAGAAATAGGTCATATGGGTGTCACAAATGATCAGTATCACGAGGGCTACAAGATGCACTATAGTAGATCAAAATTGGACCACATCTGAAAAATTTGTAATCTCAAAAATTGGTTTGCAGCTAGTTTACAAGGAAAAAATCACCTGTATTCATCTTAAGAAGTGCTGTACATTAAATCATTGCGTCATTGATCACTTTTAGCTGTGAAAATTACATCATACATTAGTAACAAGACCGTTGCATTGCGTCATTACATGGTTTTTAGGGTTCTTGAGGCGGATTTGATTGGTTTTTGAGGCTGTTGACTGTTGTACAGGTTCTTACATGTGGATATAAGTACTCATTGATGATTTTGGGATTTTTGTTCCCTTTTCTGCATCTTTTACGTGTGTTGTAGTGTTATAAATCATCATTTATTTACTATATTTGTACTAAGATCACTTAAATCCGCCCCTTCAAAGCAAGGAGAAATTTATTTACGTGTGTTAAAGACTATAAGTCAAATTGGGAATAATACTTAACAACAGTATTGCTAGTAATAACATAGTGTGTGGACTTTTTGCGCTTAAAATTGGGAATAATACTACACAACATTATTGCTTTATTTCTCTGGTGCCTTTATCTTTTTCTCTGTTATCACAAAGTGGTCAGCAAGTGCCCTTGTGCTGGTTTTTTTGAAGCAGGCAGTCTTTAGGCAACTTCTACTATATTACACGTAGTAGATTATCCCTTCTTAGGTGTTGTAAAGCTCTTGTTGAGCTTTAAATACTACAACGGATGAAATGTTGTAAAGCACACACATGACAAATGATTAATAGTCACGCAGGACTGTCAGTAACACGAGATAGTAGACGTAGGACTTATGTAAGATTTGATTATTATATATGAAATGTTTACATAATACTGTAGGACTATCTCAACAATTTTGCTACCCACTGGCAGTCCAGTGAGTACGTCCAGCTCAATCCAATCTCAATTCAACCTCAAAACAATGTCAGTTCAATCTCAATTCAATCTCAATCCAACCTCAATTTTTGGCCTGGAGGAGCAGACAAACAGTCTTCCAAAAAGAACTGAAATAAAGTTTAGTTTATGTCCACACATGAAGGTGTCAGAATATCTGGAAGGCTTGAGTGATTTTTGGAAAAAATACAATTATTATGGCCAAATATCCTTCTCAGTCCCTTCCAAAGACTTCTCCTGCAACCAGAAGCAACAGCTCTTGATTATATATTGTAATGGTATGATACTTGTTTGGGAAGGGGTTAATTTATATACTCAGAGATTCAAATATAATATTAAATGAATGAAAATATTAGAAGGAAAAAGAATGGGTTATGAAGTGGTTGTTTTCTGGTTTGTGATGTTAATACATCAATCTATTATGTATTGCAATTTTTCATTTGACTTTATACTATTTCATTCACTTCATATTGTTTACCATGTTGGGTTTTTCATTGTATTTAGAAAAAAGATTTTTATATACTCATTGATTCTTTGGTCCTTTGTTTGTAGAGTGCTTGCTCACTTTTTTGGGTGGAATCCATGTTTTTTTGAACTGTGAAAGAAATTATAAAAGGGCAGTCCTGAGATCAGCTTAACTCTGAAATACCAAAGCATCAATATACATATGAGCTGATAATACTGCATTTTGTCTTTGAAGACTTCTCTAGGAAGTTCCTGATTTGACCCAATAGTCCAGATCCCAATGCTATGTATCATTGGGCTCGGCACCACCAACATATTTACCTCGGATTACAAAATCCGAGGTATCCTTGGATGCACAACCTCGGACAGAAGCTTCCCGAGGTTTTGATCCGAGGTAATTCTCAGGGCAAAAAAATACCTCGGGCAAAAACCTCGGACAAGGTCTGTCCGAGGATTTGCCTCTGATGATGCCTTGGATTTCTCAACCCGAGGCGTCTATGCTGGCAGTGCAGCCGCCAGGTTGCGACTTGGAGGGGTGTATACATACTAAGCTACACCGGCGTGTAAATCCATCTCAAGGACCAAAGCCTCAACAATCAAACAATTGCAAGACTCTACAACTCAACAACTCAACTCAAACAGAACAAAACAGATTACATACTCTCAACAGTGGACTCTTTTTCTCAAGATAAATCAACTAATCAAATGAATAAATCACAATCAATCTTGAACCCTTCAAGGAAATATTGAATACCACATTCACTGGTGGGAAAATTAAATTCAGCTTGGATAGAAAAATTAGAGCAATGTCAAGACAGTCAACCTGATCAGGCAAAACCCAAATGAAGTCTTATGTTGTTTCAACTTTCAATCAACATTGATCAAAAGATCAACTTGATCTGCCTTGAAGGGGCCAATGCATATGATGATTGTGACTCATCAATCTTTGAGTAAAGATCATCACCACCAACATATTTACCTTGAATTGAAAAATCCGAGGTATCATGGGATTCCAAACCTCAGACAGCTTCTTTCCAAGGTTTTGATCCGAGGCAATTCTCAGCGCAGGAGATTACCTTGGACAAAAACCTCAGACAGGGTCTGTCCGAGGATTTACCTCCGATGAGGCCTCGGATTCCGCGACCCAAGGCATCTATGTTGGCAGTGCATAGACAGAAATGGATGGCTTTGACTTCTCATAAGTGTAATTAGGTTGTAAATTTCGCATTTCATGGACTTGATAGTGAATTAAAACTTCTTATGAGATTTTGGTCAAGAACTTGTGTACCGCTTCCCAACCCATACCCTTTCCACTCCTTTTGAAACACCAAACTCAAACTATCATAATTCATGATATCACTTGTGATATGTATATAGCTGATCCCATAATTGGGTTTATGTTGATTTGCTTGTTATTTTCTTTTCAGAAAAAACTGGACACAATTAAATTTACTCCTGAAGTTTTGATCGCTGTGAAACAAAGAAATCAAAATGATTATTGAACTTTTTTGTGAAATTCTAGGCAATCGCTTCATGATGTAATTGAAGTCTGTTGAATCTTAAGCTATACCAATGTTTGTAAAAGACAATTTTTTTTCATATTGGCAATGAGCGCAACTTCAAAAAACAAAACAATGAAGTTGGAGCAATTAGATGAGATAGAAATGGAGAGAGAGATACCCTTCCACAATTCATCTTATAAGTCCAAGTAAGTGATGAACTACTAACACATGAAATTTATGATGTTTATATATTGTTTTGAATCATCACCTTGACCTTCATCATCATATTGTTTTATCAGATCTATCATATCAGTATTTCACCTATGATGCACAACACTCCAATAAGTGAAGTGTTACACATTGATAAAATTGTGAACTTACTCAGCCTTGCAACATCTTTTTTGGTCTTGATGTGAATGAAAGGTACAAGGAGACAAATAAGTACAGAAGTAGTATTATGTGGGCTTGAATGGGCAAAGTATTGGTAAAGGAGAGAAGAATATAAGTACAGAGACCACCCTCAGGTTGAAACTGAAAGAAAAATGTGCAACCTGAAATGAAGTGCCTCACTTGTTCATCATTCTGAATGATCAAGGCTTGAGGGGGTCAGATAGGGTTATTTTTGAGGGTCTGAGCGTGAATAAATGAAGGTGGCTACAGAGAGGTTGATAGAGATGAAAATTTGCACTGTTCTAAGAGGGGTAAATAGCTAAAAGTCTGACTTCATAGGCCCAAGCCTTCAGTGAATTTGTTTGTGTTTTAAGGTGGAGCAGGAGCAGAACATGCAGTGTTTTATGGTTGGAGTGCAGATGTGAGGGTGACGGAGCTGAGCTACAAGAATATTGAATACAGATGTGAGATGTGCATTTCAAAGTGATGAAATAAAAACTCAAATGCTGGACCTCATAGTCACAAAACTTCATTGAGATAGTGGGTGTTTTATGGCAGAGCGGGTACCAAACATCATGGTTGTATGAAGAAGTGGTGATATGAAACTATGTGAACCCACCAGAAGATTTTGGAGGATTCATTTTCAACTTCAGCTGTACTACTGAACTAGCTCCAGGTAGATCTGCAGCCCATGCATATCCCCCATCCAAACTGATCTTGAGGTCAATTTGATATTGAATTGAGACTGTTTTGAGATTGTTTTGAGGTTGTTTTGAGGTGAATTGTACTCACTGGCCTGCCAGTGAGTAGTAAAATGTCACTGTGAACTGTTGACTTCTTGGTGAGTTCTGGTATTGAGCAGGTGATGGAGAGTAAGAGCTACCAGTGTTCATGCAACAATTATTGGGCGTGCGGTTGATGGCCATTGCTTCAATTTGAGTGTTCAAGCTGTTGATCAAAATTGTCTCAGATGCGGTTTTTTCTCTTGCAATATAAATTTGAATAGCGGATTTCACATCTTCAAGTTTAAAGTTAGGAATTGAATCATTAAATTTTTTATCAAGCTCCTTATTGATTTCTTTGGTCATTTCAGCTGGCATGTGTAATTGGTAAAATAACCCCTTGATCAAGTCACTGGTCCAGGCAAAGCCGGTTGATTCTAACTCCAAAACAATTGAATTGACTTTAGCCATGTAAGCCAGCATTCCAGTCTCACTCAGATCAAGTCGTAGATGAACCAAACGTGTGAAGAGAGAGAGTTGATTTGTCTTTCCTCCTCATTGAAAATGCTTCTGTAACGCCTTCATCGCTTCGTGTGCATCGTCTGCATCATCGGTCATGTTCTTGAGATCCTCATGAATAGTGCTAGAGATCATAAGAAAGGCTAGTTTGTCTCGCTCCTTATCAACGTAAGTTAAGATTGGTTTAGCTGATTCCCAATAGTCTTTGATGCTTAACAGCGCCTTCATGGCTCTTGACGCGTTGTTCTTCCACACAATAAAATTTGATCCGTCTTTCGAAAGATTGGTGAAATTGATGTTGTTGGCCAAGTTCTTATTAGCCCTATTGATCTCTTGTAAGGCTCGAGTTTCTTGTAGTGCTGATTCAGCAGCGGATGTCATCTTGATGTCTTTGTCAGATGGGAAAATCAGGAAGAATCCCTGAGGAAAAATGACGGGATTAGGATTGAATGTTTTCGTGTGAGCTGTAAAGGGTTTGAGAGATATCGGCATAGGGTTAGGATTTGGTGTATGATTGGGTGATGTTGGAATCTCTACTCCAATGTTCAATTGTGAGATACTTGTTGCTAATTCCGATATGGACTTAGGAGAATCAGGGGTATGCGTAGAGTTTTCAGCAGAAGGTTTGTAAACAGCAGATTGAGGCGTAGAAACAGCAAGTAACATATTAGACGAGGGGATATTCAATTCAAGTTCATTTGGCATGGGTGTGGGCAGCGGAGGTAAAGTGGTCAAATCAGGAAAAACATATTTGGGCAATTTTGTAAATGTGATTGTTAAAACGAGATATTCAGGATTTCTCGGTGGTGGTGTATTAGGGGGTGTGAGTGATAAAGATGGAATACTTTTGGCCATTGCTATTTGCAGCCCACATGAAATCCATGTAGGTGCTGTCCAAATTACGCCTACACGGTTGTTTTCCGCCAAAAAGCGCCTACATTTATGATGTAGGCACTTTTTCCTTTTTCAGATGACGCCTACAGGCTGAAAACCCAATGTAGGCGTCATTTGTGTACGCCTACATTCTAAAAATAAGACGTAGGCGCTATTTTCAAGCGCCTACATTGTTTTTTCCATGTAGGCGCTTAAGTTAGTTATAAGGGTCTTATACATGTGTGAATACAAATCTATAAGGGTGCTGGTATTAATATATAAGGGTGTTGGTATTAAATTATAATTATAAGGGTGGTGAGATTAATTATAAGGGTGTTGGTATTAAATGATAAGGGTATTAAATGTAAGAGTGTGCATTTGATTAGAAATTATAAGGGTGTTGGAATTAAATCATGAGGGTGTTGGAATTAAATTATAAGGGTGTTGGTATTAACATATGTAGGCGCACAAAAATTACGCCTACAGTCAAAAAAAAAGATGTAGGCGCATTTTCGTGACGCCTACACAATGCAGGCGCTTCAAATTTCCGCCTATATTTTATTTTTAGAATGTAGGTGTACACAAATGATGCCTACATTGGTTTTTCAGCCTGTAGGCGTCATTTGAAAAAGGAAAAAGTGCCTACATCATAAATGTAGGCGCTTTTTGGCGGAAAACAACTGTGTAGGCGCTGTTTTGGCAGCGCCTACATGGATTTCGTGTGGGCTGCAAATAGCGAGGGCCATACTTTCAATGTTTAGTATTTCACCATCACCTTGAGATCTAGATTTGGTTGGGTACAAAGTTGGGGAAGGTTCTGGGGTTGATTGCGGAGAAGGTGATGGAGGTAGTGGAGGCAGTGATTGTAAATCAGGGAATATAGAGTCTTCTTGTTTATTCTTATTGCGAGATTTCTTAGTGCGTCGTTTTTTCGGAGGTGATCAAGGATTGGAAGCGTAATCCCAACTCCTCGTTTGCATTCAGGTTAACGGCGACCCGTCAAGATCAAGAGCGCAGGCTCATAACCTATAGTGAATAGACAAAAGAGATAAAATGCATAAGCAAAAGAATAATAAGATTCCACACAGTTGTGGAATCTCAAAATCGAGATCTGACACCGCGGGAATTAATACGTCTGAAACCCAATTGAGCGGAGTTGCGCTGTCCAAGTCTGCAACTTCCCACAATCACGGGTTTCGTTCGCAATATGTTCACATTACCTTCACATGTTCCCCTTGGGATATTCTGGCACCTGCAATTACATATGAACTAGCCAAATTGGCGGCGGGCGCCGCGGTTACAGAAAGGTCTTATCATAATTCAATTCAAATTCTATTCTGCAGGATATTCTGGAGCATATATCACTTGAGGAGGCAAGCTTATTCAGGCTTGATTAGTTGAATTACAGCACAGTCAAATCTACTTCAACACTATGTTAAGATCACTGTATATATTATGAGTAACACAATGCCAGCCTCTGAATATTGACCTTCCAAAGTAAGTACCTACCTTGGTCACACAATCCACCAATGAGGTGTAGTTCACAGGAGTCAAACAACATCCTCCAATTTCCATTCAATTGGGCTGTTGTTGTGTTTGATAGCATACCCATGACCACATGAATTGTAAACACTGTGTCATAGCTTTCTATTGCAGAGATCAGATATAAAGTTACCATGATTACCAATCCTTTGGCACAAGTGAATTCAGATCTGAAACAAAACTGTAGACCATAGTCCTTGTAAAACGCCACTGTTTCCTCTTTGTGCATACTCCACCTATTATTCACTTCAAAAACAAAATGTTTTGGGTTTTTGACTTTCCTAGAGCAGAACCATGGATCTCTTTCAATCAGCATACCAATAAGTACTGATACTTGGGTAACTTGTGATGCAAACACTGGCTTCATCAAAGGTTTCCAATTGCAGTCATCATATAAGCCAAAGAAAAGGTGTAATGCTCTAGTTGCAAATGACTTGATATGGGAAGGGTTTTTACACTGTTTGTGTGTGCGGCAAGCAACAGCAAATGGAGGGAAGGCACAGGACATAAAATACGCTTCTGAGTTCTTATTGTGGTGGAATCAAGTATTGAGAGGCATCATGGGAATTGTGAACAGAGGTGATGACACATGACCTTGGAGCGGAGTGAAAATATCCTTGCCCAAACCCTAACCCCCAACCCCTAGGCCCTAACCCCCTAACGGATTCCATATCATAGTACATCAAGTTTCATTTTGTTTCCGATTTGGAAAAACTTTACAAGAAGCTCCAAAATTAAAACACTGGTATGTTGCTTGAAGTTGGTTGAGACAGGTGAGCATATATAACAAACTCTGTTTTATTTATCATTGTAGGAGTAGCTGTGAAGGAATCCAATAATAGTTCTCTATGAGAACACAACAATAGTAAAGCTCAAAAATAAAATTTTTGTGTGTTTGCTCAGGCCATGAAAATTAGCAAAGTAGGTTTGCCCCCAAAGAATCGCAGTGATACAGTTGGGAGTGACAGCTAACACTCTTGATATCAAAATTGGGCAATGTGTGCAGGATGCTTAAACATTACATAAGCAAAGATAGATGTCTTGGATTGAAAACCCCAAGGGATCATTGGATGTAAAACCTTGGATAAATCTTGTCCATGAATTTGATTCAAGTCATTTTTTGGTGAAAACAAACTGCTTGGATCAAAAACCCAGAAATATTCTGTCCAAGGATTTTAGTCCAATGACACCTTGTATTTTTCAATCCAAGGCATTTGTTAGCTGTGAAGGCAACTTGCGTAAACAATGAGTTTGTTGTCAAACCATGACACAACTGTAAATTGACACCAACTCTATGAATGTGTTGCCTGTGACAGTATCAATCCTCAGTCAATGATATTGATAAGCAAAACCTGATAATTATTCAATTCATAGTGACAATAAATTGACTTTACCCAAATTTGGCTGTTTCAGCATTAATTTGATTGCTTTAAAAATCATTCATCTTGATTCAATAATAAAATACAATCTGAATCTGGTCATTTTTTGGCTTCTGAAAGGTTGGATGCACTTTGTGTCTAAAACTGGCAACATTTGGAGTCAAGAGTCCCAAGGCTTATCATCCTATTGCATTCTCTCATTGCCCAAGCTGATTGTAGCATGGTTTGACTGACCTCAACTACTTGTTGGGTTCATCCTTTGTTGGGTTAATGGGCTTCAGCTCTAAAAGATATGACAGAAATCCTTCTAAATGAAGGCCTTGTATATGAACTGAGCCACTCACAGATGTGCATTCAGGTTGAGTGATCAGGTTTGAATAACATCTGTAATCCCAAGGATAGATAATTCACATGGAGGAATGAATGATCAGTATCTGGTGGATTGACTTGGGAATCACAGCAAAGAGAGGTTCTAAACTAAACTGTCAAGATTTGGAATGTACAAATATTTAAACGTTTGTAGTTGATTTGTTTGGTTCATCAGATCCATAAAGCGGAGATTCAACTAAACCAAGTTAGGTGGAAATATCAACATTAACAAAGATTTACTTATCATAGAAGGCAAAGTTGATATTGAGCCAAATGATGATATCAGACTTTTGGAAATATCTGATGTTATGGTAGCTAATCAATTGATTACATTACAGTTGACTCTGAAATCACCTGCATTTACAAATATGCCATACTCTACCCCAACCCATAGCTGTTTGCATCCATATTTCATGGGCGGGGAAATGGACCAAAAACCAATAACCCATAGCTTTGTTTTAGAATTAGAGACAAAAAACCATAGGTTCCTACAGATAAAATTCAAATACTGTGCTATGGAGTTTTGAAACACATCAGCAAAGATCCTTGAAGGCCTCCAACTCCAACAGTTCCATTGGTGTATGAACTTGTTGCATGGAATGATGATCTTGAGTCTTGATATGCTATAACACTTTCTGTCCGACTTGCTTCAGTTGATTTGGGCATCGCACTTGAACCTGTATCATTTGATTTGTTGTTGTGGGGAGATCTGACAATAAAAGTGTTGAGATTTCGCTTTCAAATAATGTTATGTGTAAGAGCATCCCCACCGCGGCTGGAACCGTAAACTTGATACAGCTGTCCAAATTGACAGACGGGCAGCTGTATCTCATCTGCAGCCAGCCTTGCCAGCACCGCGCGAGCTGGATATTGCTTTTGCGGTTCTACCTCTGTCATGAATGACAGTTTCGTCGGATTGCAACTTCTGGAAAAATCCAGTATCTTGGCCGATCACTCGCTCGGACAATCAAGTGGTGGTAATTGTCATCCAAGATAGCACACACTGCGACCAACTAAGGTCTGCGTGTGAAGCTGGAATGTCCAAAGTATGGGAAAACAAGTTTTCCGGAGTTTTCAGCTCAACTAGCAACAACTCGAAGATTTCTTACGTTTCCAAAATTTTTGGAAACGTAAGCTGACACCTGTGGCCAGGTGTGGGACTATTTGGACGCGGTGGAGGGCGTCTGGCTGGAAACGTAATGTTGAATTTACGTTTATGTCAGAAACGTTACGTTTCCGGCGGCGCGGTGGGGATGCTCTAAATCAAGGATCATGCTTTCAAGATTGATTAGAATTTGAATTTGAAATGGAAATTGAATACCTTTACATTTCTTTCTACCTAAACCTTCATCATCAATTCCATTTTCACTTCAATCTTTAGTTTGACGCCAAACGAGTCCATAACAGTCTCATCAACCAAAATTGAACATCAGTCAGCAAAAGTCAAGAAGATGTATCAACTTTCACAATATGAAGATGGAGTCGATCATGGGGGGATGTAAGGACCTTTGGAATGAATCAATTGCTGTTGATGATAATATTATTCAATTGCAATTGATGACGCTTGGTCTGAATAGACAGGTGGATGACAGTTCCACAGGATTCAAATCAAAAAATACATGACAGTCAGCCCAAAGAGAACAATTTGAAGAAACGAAAAGTGAGGAATTGAAAACATACCGGTTGATGTGACCAATTATGATTGATGAAACAAAACCCTTGGAGCTATTCTAACACCAAATTTTCTATGAATAATCACATCTAAAGTCAAAAGGATAGAAAACTTGCAACTGTAGAGAATGAATTAAGATAGGAAATTGTAAATTATAGTAACTGATCAAAGTAAAAGTTGAAGAAATTAAGTAAATTAGAATTGGTTTGAAATGATTGATTGGATGTAATTTATTTATGAACAATCAGATTGAAATTGCAAAACATAAACTTCTTTCGCAGTCAAAGAAATAAAGCTGACACTTTGAGATAACGATGTAAAAGATGAGGATCAATTTGTTTTATGAAATTTAGGAATGAAAATGTTGAATTGTTTCAAAGCATGATGATTGAAGTTGACCAAAATTTGTGTCTCAAATGAGTTGAATATGAAGGGGTGATACCATTCAGTCCAATGAAATTGATGATAAGAACATGAAATAAACACAAGAGTATTATAATCAAGTGAGGAGATTGATCGGCTCAAAGTTTTAAAACCAAAGAGCAGAGTTGATGAAATTGAAATCAAAAACGAATAACAATTAAGAAGCCTAGGATCGATTGATTTGATTTTAATATTGTTGAGCAGATTGTAAGTAATTTGGATCATCTGCTACAGTAGTTGAAGGTGAATTTGAATCTCCGTATTGTTGTTGTAAGTGTTGTAAGTGTTGAGGTGAGTGTTGACTTGATGAAGTAAAATGGCTGTTAGTTCTTACTGGACAATGTGATGGTTCTTGAGATCGATTAGGTATCAAAGACATATGGAGAATTCGAGATCAACAAAACAAAGTCAGACACTGTAAGATCCCATGGGTTCACATGAATTTCAAAGCTTACAAAACTGAATGAGCAATTGGAAAAACGTTCTGATATGTAGCTGAGGTCGCACAAAATTGGAGCAAGCTGATAAACCAGCCTCGGATGCTTTAGACCCTAAAAGTGGAAACGTTTAAAGAATCAAGTGGTAGTAGCTACATCTTTTGAATTCACACCCTGAGTGAAAGCCTTTAAGAGGATTCCAATTAGTTGATTTGTAAATTTTGCTGAAGCAATCGAAGGTGGTTCAGGAATATCGGACGCAGGCTGACAAAATAAACATGTGGGTCATTTTGTCTTCAGTAAAGAAATCCAAAAGACTCTATAAAATCGCGTACCACCACAGCTTCTGCAAATTGACTACGAATCATTTCTGGAGTGATCCCATTGGTATGTTGGATATGTCGTGTAGAAGCTTCCCAATCAGCTTTCTCGATCACTTGAAATACATTGATTAAGAGTCTTTAAGTTCTGTGACAGCTTGAACCCGATCGATGCATTCCTTGACCCTGCTCTGTTTGAGGGCTAGGATGCAAACCTTGCTTGATATTCTTTCGGCTACAGCTGCCTGTTTGGTTACCACTTCATGAAGGGTCAATGCATCTTGAGCAAGTGAAGAGACCAATGGCCTAAGATTGTCTATACGCATGAGTGGCTGTTCTAGTCGTTCAGGCGAAGAGAGAAGGTCGGCCAAAGAGCTATCAAGCTCAAATTCCATGGATTCTATTTGGTAAACAGCACTTTAGTCAATTGAAATTGATACTCAGATTCTTTGATCTAATCAAAAAAGATAAGTAGTATGAACCTCACCGAGTGAGCTAAAGCCGTGATGATATCTTGATGTGACTGAAGGGTAGCAAGATGTCGACGAGGTTGAATTGGTGAGTTTGATAGTAAGAGGTCATCAGTTTGAATGTTATTAATTGCCATCGTCTGATTCGTATAGTACATACACTTCGAATCACTTAATTGGCTGAGGATGAAAAACCAACACTCAACTTCTCTACTTCCTACCTTACTCTCTGCAGCTGATCGAATCTGATACCAGTCACACCCATATCCCGGACCCCACTTTCACCTCAACCCTCGACCTTCTCATTTGATGTTAACATCCTATTGAAAAAGATGATTTTTGGACATTAGCCATTCTTTTGTTTTGCTCTGGTTTGATTAATGTTGAAGAGATTCAATGGGTTTTATTATGTCAAGGTATTGCTTGATGAGTTGGTTCTGTGAGAAAATGGAAGAAATCAATCACAGGAATGAATTCAAAATGGCTTACTTTTTGATACCGATACTTTTTGAATTGATTGGATCGGTACATAAACTTGAAGATCTGATCCTAATCCTTTGATTCGATCCAATGAAATTTCAAGTGTGATGTTTTGAATCAAGGAAACTGATTAATTGCTGGTGATTCATGAGCAATTTAAATGAGATCAAATAATTAATCTATCTGGATTATGATCAAGCTTCATTTTTTTTCTATATACTTACTGATCTGGTCTTGTTCCTATAAAATCGAGAGTTCTTAACATTCTTGATCGGAATCTTGAAATTGTATAAGTAAGTAGAATATTCGGCCAGGGATTACGGGTGAATTCTTGAGGATGTTTAGCTAGGATTTGCATTGGATCCTCTGATAAGGAGATTCTTGTGACACATATAGATAGGTAGGAGCAATGTCAGGTGCTTCAGGAAAATCAGCTAGGGGTGGATTGACTTGCAAAGCATTGTCGGATGAGGCAAAAGGGGGAAAAGTAGCCAGCGGAAGAGTGGGGATTTGAATGAAAGGAATCACAAATGGATCTTGAAATGATTTCTGACCCATATGCAAAACTCGAAAATTGCACTAAAGGTGAACTTTGCCGATCTTATTTGAGTTGCTTGCCTTCAATTTGAAAATGAAGGTTAGTTGATATATGGATAAACTAATTCATAGTTGACCTTTAACTTGTAATGATAATTATATGATGTACATATTACATATGAATCAGACACTTACTGGTAGCTGTATACATATCCATCATGCTTCAGTCCCTTTCACATAGTGTGATATATGATATGTTGTATTCAAATACAAATAAAACTTTTAAAAAAATCCCTTCCAAAGATTTATCTACGTAGCTGCCATCCACTTGTCCATGTAGATCTTTAGTATTCACTTCTATCTCAAATCTTTTACCGTGCCCCAGAAAGGATCATCCCAATATTGTCCAAAGGGTAGATCACCAACACCCTCAACTGACAATGCTTCAGAAGATGATTTAAAGAAGAGATCAAAACAAAAAAAATCAAAATCAAAATCCTCCTCACACCATCAAAATTCCAGTGTTGAAAAGAAGAAGAAAATCCCAAAACAGAATTATCTTGAGACCGTAGATACTTCAGATATTAAAGAATTAAATGTGAGTATGTTTGCATAATCTTCCATCAAAACCAAGTTTAAGAACGGCTTACCAATGGTGAAATTTTTGGAACATAGCCAATCATCCACCTGCATCTTCGAGTACTCATGCGCCGCCCCAATGCAACAAGCCCAATTCCACCTCCACCAACCTCCTCCAAAATACTTGCCTGACTAGTTCAAGCAAATGGGGTTCCTTCTTCTTGGGAGTTCCGTTTGGCGTACTACTCGAGGTACGGCTTTTCTTTTTTTCAGGGGTGTTCGAGATGTTAGACAAGAGCTCTCCATGCTGTGCAAGTCCAAGTGTAACACATTGGACCTGCTCAGTAAGTTTTTCAAGCTTGCTTTCAAGGCTGGTATTGGCAGGGTCCATTTTAACAGTTGAGGTTGAAGCAAGGCGGATGGAGATATTGAGTTTGAGTGATGTGGATATGAAAAGGAATTGACTAGAGGAGCAAAGTCAGGAAGGTCTTGATAACACAGCAGACAGAAGAGACTGTTTTATACTCACCAGTCAAGGGTGCGACCTTGAAAGGAGGCAAACTCATCCTTGCGCATAACCCACATGCTTGAATAACAAAGGAAACAGGTCCAGTGGGACAAGGACTGGCCTTTGAGAATGCTCAGTGAACCAAACGCTAAAAGTGATGAGTAGTTGAAACCGTTGCATTGAAGGAGTTCACACCGTGGGAATTAATTAGTTTGAACCCCGATTGAACCAAATTTTGGTGTCCGGGTTCGAAATTTCCTCGAATTGTGAATTTTGTTCACAATTCGTTTGCAATACGTTTGCTGATTTCCCTCGAGCGGTACTCTGCTCACCCCGTGTATGCACAGCTACATCATACAACAACAACACCTTTCAACAACAGTCACCACAGATTCACCAATGTGCAGAGCATCAAGACTGAGGATGCATGACAAAGGAAAGATGGCTCAATGGTCGGAAATGGGGTCATTGTTGTATGTTGTAGCTGTACATACATATGCGGGGCCAACAGAGTACCGCTCAAGGGCAATTGGCAAACCTATTGCAAACAAACTGTGAACAAAATTCATGACTCGAGGAAATTTCGAACCTGGACACCAAAATTTGGTTCAATCGGGTTTTGAACTAATTAATTCCCGCGGTGTCAACCTTGTTGAAACTCGTGAGCTCAGGGTCTGCTCAGCAGCGCAGTCCCTTGAACTACCGTGCCCCTCACATAGGCTTTGAGGGATGCTTGCACAACTTGCGGTTGGTGTGGCTGGTGTTAAGCTAAGAAGCTAAGGAGGGTATGTATGTGACTCTGTACAGGTGCGCATAGCACGGCTCGAGGGGAACATGTGAACGTAATGTGAACATATTGCGAACAAAACCTGTGATTGAGGGAAGTTGCGGACTCGGACAGCACAACTCCGCTCAATCAGGTTTTGGACGTATTAATAAATAACTGAGGTAATCGAAGTTATTTCTTTCCCTGATAAGGATTAAGATCAAACTCAGTCTTATGAAGTAAGACTTTGGTTGATCAAAAGAAAACAACTTTACCTGATAAGGATTAAGATCAAACTCAGTCTTATGAAGTAAGACTTTGGTTGATCGAAAGAAAACAACTTTCTGAAAAAGGAAGTTGTGATGCAGAAAGAAAACTTGAGTTTGATAGAGAAAAGAAAACAATTAGATAGATAGACTACTCTATATATCATTCTATAGAACTCAACAATGCGTCATGGTGTAAGAAGAGAAACGTGTTACATAATGCACATGATAATGAAAATGAATCTTTAATGGTAATGCGCTTTATGGGATCACTTTGTGATCCTAATTCCCCCCCATCTTCAAAACATTGTGTAAGCCTAATAGTCTACAGAAGTTTCCGTGTTTTGATGGTGTTAGTGACTTGGTCATTACATCAGCAATCATGTCATTGGTTGGGATGTATTCAATCTTGATTGGTTTCTTAGTTGACAGTTCCCGTAACCAATGGTATTTCACGTCTATGTGCTTAGTTCTTCTCTTAAATTTTTCATTTTTGGATAACGCTATCGCTCCCTGATTGTCCAGTTTAAAAATTGGTGCTTCATCTTGCCTTATTTCCATTCCTTTCAATAAATTCTTTACCCAAACAACATCCTGACCTCCTTCATACGCAGACCGATATTCCGCCTCAGTCGTTGAAGTGGCTACTGTATCCTGCTTTTTAGAATTCCAATTCACCGTACTGTTACCCAATCTCGTGACATATCCACCTGTAGATCTCCTCGTAATCGGACAAGTAGCAAAGTCAGCATCTGCAAAAGCGTTGATTATGATCATTAATCCTCCAAGAACCAGACTTAGCGCTTGTGTACCCTTGAGAAAACGTAGGACCCTTTTGAAGGCTATCCAGTGATGTATAGAC